GAAAAGTGACAAATTTTGAAAGCAAATGGAGCGTGTTAATCTTAAAATATATAAGGTTCGTGGCATTTTAAAATTCTTAAAAAAAATCCCCCCTAGCAATGAAGTGCTACGTTCACATTAAGGGGTATTAAGGAGATTTGACACAAAGGCAAACAAAATCAGTTAGTAGGAAATCACCTTTTTCACTTTTTATGTGCGTTGTTGCCTCAAAACCTCCTCGTCTTCACACTCACCATATAACGCCTTGATGATACTATATTACTATTAGATTAATTTTAATCAAACCATTAATATTACCTTTACTAACAACAAAACTAGTTTTAGTAGTATTACTTTATGTGAATGTAAACACATTCATTTACCACCTCGCCGCCCCTATGTGAAAAGAAAGATTCATGGGAACACTCACATGACTTTGTTCTTTTCAATTTTTTTTAATACTTAATAAATTATTCTTTTTTCCAAAATATTTTTGTAATTACTCTAAGTTCCTACAAAAAGCAATTAACATTAATAAAAATAAAAGAATAATTGTTTTGCAATTAATTTATGATTAATGCGGAAGACACAATTTTCCACCTGATCTTAAACGTATACATAGGTGATGTACATTTCAAAATTTCGACCAACACTTAAAACACAAATTAAAAAAGTAGTCCACTAAATAAATATACTCAATAATAATAAAACCAAAGGAAATGTGAAAGAAAACATAATAATGAATGAAAAGGAAATTAAATTATCATTAAATGAAAGCTAACTGTCAAAAATTTCTGTCGCTTGGTACCTTCCTGCTTTCTCCTTCCCTTCCCATATAAAGATCACTTAAGCTCGTCCCTTCGTCTTCACAAATCCTTCTTCTTCTTCCTCTCTCCTTCTCCGGCGACTTTTCTCAGTCTCTGGTTCTCCTACATCAGCGCTATTTAGCTGATCCTCTCTCCGGCATTTCTCTATCTTTTTTTCAGTCATGGAGAAATTTGCGTCCGTAGCTGCTCTGTTACTGCTTCTTCTCTGTTTTCCGGTAGCTTTCTCCGGTCATGATTATGGTCAAGCTCTTTCCAAGAGTCTTCTCTTCTTCGAAGCTCAGAGATCTGGTGTTCTTCCTCGTAACCAGAGAGTCACTTGGCGCTCTCACTCCGGTCTCACCGACGGCAAATCAAGCGGCGTATGTCTCTCCCTCTCTCTCTTTCTATATTTTGTTTCCGACATTGTTGCTCTTTATCATCCAAAACCAGAATCAAACTCTGTTTTTTTTATTTCACTTGATTTTGAGTTTATTCAGACAACATTTCAGTAAATTAGCTATAGATCTGTTCTCCGTTCAGACAACGTCGTCACCGATATTGTTCCTGTTTCATACCGTACTAACTATAGAATCTTTTGTGTTCATCAGGTGAATCTAGTCGGAGGTTACTACGATGCCGGAGACAATGTGAAATTCGGACTACCGATGGCTTTCACGGTGACGATGATGGCGTGGAGCGTGATAGAGTACGGGAATCAGTTACAAGCCAACGGCGAGCTTGGAAACTCCATTGACGCCATTAAATGGGGTACTGATTATTTCATCAAAGCCCATCCTGAGCCCAACGTCCTTTACGGCGAGGTATAGTACTTTCACCACTTTGCTTCAATTAATTAATGATTAGAAAAAATGAAATTGATTTTTATAGTTATGGAATTTTTTAGGTTGGAGATGGCAACACCGACCATTACTGTTGGCAAAGACCGGAAGAAATGACGACGGATCGTAAAGCTTACAGGATAGATCCGAGTAATCCCGGGTCGGATCTTGCCGGAGAAACAGCAGCCGCCATGGCCGCCGCATCAATTGTGTTCCGCCGATCTAACCCTGTTTACTCTAGGCTACTACTCACTCACGCATATCAGGTAAAAACTCGGCGCATTTTTACCAGTATTTAAGAAGCGTACGTTAGTATAAAGTGTGGGTATAATTAATTACTACAGGCAGTTACATTGAGAAGTTGCAGACACATTATTATTGTACACTGGCAGAGTAGGAAGTAGAATCTTATTTAAATGTCATTTTCCGCGCACGTTAGGCGTTTATTTTAAGGCGTCATTTAGTAGTAATTGAAAATGACAAATCTGATTAATTATGTTTAAACCCGAATTTGTTTTTTTTTTATAAAAGCTTCCAAAATAGAAAGTTTTCTGAGATTTTGCTATAATTATGTGAGTCACACCAGGAATTTAGCTAATTTGATATTCCAACTCCTTTTTTGGATGTAGAATTTAATTTAAACACAGTAGCTTACTATTTTTAATCATATAAGCGGCGTCGTTCTCCGTCCATCACGGGTTTTTTGTGTTGTGACTGTACAGATCTTGTTATGATCTCAGCCGTTCAAAAATAAAATGTATTTGTGTGTCTTTTAATTAAAAAGACTACGCACGTGCCTTGGACCGTCGGTGCCCCATTATGTGTAACTAACTTTTTTTCAATTTAACCTCTCTTCTAATACAATATCACGAAAATGCCACTCCCTACCCAAAACTTGTAAACTAACCTTCTCTTTGATGTTTTATTACGGATTTGCCACCCTAATTCCGTTTTCTTTTTTTTGTTTATTACAGTTGTTTGATTTCGCCGACAAATACAGAGGAAAATACGACAGCAGTATCACTGTTGCCCAGAAATACTACCGATCCGTCAGCGGTTACAATGTAAGATCCCAAATTTTTTAAGTGCTTAAACAAATTGTCTGATGTCTGAACTTGTTCTTAATTTCAATGATCAGGACGAGTTATTGTGGGCAGCTGCGTGGCTATACCAAGCTTCGAACAATCAGTTCTATTTGGACTACTTGGGTCGCAACGGTGACGCCATGGGTGGAACCGGTTGGTCTATGACCGAGTTCGGTTGGGACGTTAAGTACGCTGGTGTTCAAACCCTTGTTGCCAAGGTTAGTAGTAGTTCATATGGTTAACCGGTTTGTTAATCTTGGTTTGATTCTAAACCGGTTCTTTCTTTGACAGTTTTTGATGCAAGGCAAAGCAGGAAGTCACGCGCCTGTGTTCAGGAAGTTTCAAGAGAAAGCTGATTCCTTTATGTGTTCCTTGTTGGGTAAAAGCTCGAGGAACATTCAGAAGACACCTGGTGGTTTGATTTTCAGACAACGTTGGAACAATATGCAGTTTGTCACTAGTGCTTCCTTCTTGACCACGGTTTACTCTGATTACCTAACTTCTTCTCGAAGCAACTTGAGATGTGCCGCTGGAAATGTCGCTCCTTCGCAGCTTCTTTCCTTTGCTAAATCTCAGGTGGATTATATTCTTGGAGATAACCCGAGAGCAACGAGCTACATGGTTGGTTATGGTAACAATTTCCCTCAGAGAGTTCACCACAGAGGCTCCTCCATTGTCTCTGTCAAGGTCGACCGTACATTTGTCACATGCCGAGGTGGATATGCCACGTGGTTTAGCCGTAAAGGCAGCGACCCGAACCTTCTCACTGGCGCTATTGTAGGCGGTCCTGATGCTTACGACAATTTCGCTGACAGGAGAGATAACTATGAGCAGACTGAGCCTGCTACTTACAACAATGCACCACTTCTTGGTGTTCTTGCTCGTCTCAGCAGTGGTCATTCTGGTTATAGCCAGTTTCTTCCAGGTTTGTATTTGAAATTCTAAACCCTGAGAAGAAGTTTGAAACTCAAAGTAGTTTGCTTATTTTGTTGCTGTGTCCCTGTAGTGGTTCCTGCTCCTGTTGTCCGAAGACCAATGCCTATTCGTAGACCGAAAGTGACTACTCCTGTCCGAGGTATGTATGCTTCTTTTGTCTACACGTGAATCTATGAGTGTCTATGGAACAGAGACTTGACTCTGTTAATCACTTGTGCAGCTTCTGGTCCAGTGGCTATAGTTCAGAGGATAACTAGTTCATGGGTCTCAAAGGGAAGGACTTACTACAGATACTCAACAACTGTGATTAACAAATCTTCTAGACCTCTGAAAAGTCTCAACCTTTCGATCAAGAATCTCTACGGACCAATCTGGGGACTCTCGAGATCAGGCAATTCCTTTGGTTTACCCTCATGGATGCACTCATTGCCATCCGGAAAATCCCTAGAGTTCGTCTACATTCACTCAACAACTCCTGCCAATGTCGCGGTATCGAGCTACACTTTGGCTTGACTAGACAACAACAACAACATCAAAGGAAATCACAGTGTGTATAGGTCGTGAGAAGGTCTTTGGTTTTTACCTCTGGTTCGTCAAGAACGTTAAAAGGTTTAGTCTTTTATCTTCATTTTTACTTTTGGGTTTCTCTGGTGAATATAAAAAAAGGGGTTGAAGAAAGGTGTGAAGAGACAAAAGTGAAGACTCTTCAAAAAATTAAAGAAGAGTGAAAGTGCTCATCCTCTTTCTCCTCTAAGTTCAAGGCTTTTTAAATTTATATATAAATCATATATAGTGAGAGTGAAAGGAAGATAGAGAAAGATAGTGTTTGTGAGATCTTCCTTTTCTTATGAAAAAGGGGTCTTGTGAGATATTGCAAGGATTGTTTTTTTCATTCCTTGTAGCTAAAAAAACATGTTTATGTCTTTGTCCTTTTGTGTTTTATCTTTCTTGGTGGGTCTATGGCAGTTGTAAAACTCAACAACAGTCCTTAATGAGATATGTGATTTGGTTATTTATCAACTTATGTTTAGGTATTTGTCTTCTATACATGCACTGCGGAATTTAGTGACATCAAATATAAGGTGAAATTAGCAAAGAATAAACTTGTTTTGTGAATAAGATAAATAAATTATCACTTCCCCAAATTGTTTATTTCTACAAGGTGGTCAATCCATTGAATTTTTGTAGTTAGTTACTATGAATCTTATCACTTGGAGCATTTTCCCTCTGTTTATTTTAACGTGTTAAACTCACTAATTTAGTAGTTAGTTACACTGAATCTAATTGCCAATGAGTTGAGGATATACTCAGCAAATCTAATAAGAAATTGTGAAAAATGAAAATTATACATTGTGGATTGCATAGCCAGAGAACTTTATTAAAATATCAATACAAATACACAAAACAGGATAATGTTGAGTACAATAAAAAGATTTGGTTGTTTACAAGCAAAAAAAAAACTAATGTATTTGGCACAAGCAACTTCGATATTAACACAACATAGAGAGACATATAACAATATGAATTAGAGTGATAAGAGAAACATATAAACCTGAGAGACTTGTCCAACAACTTCCTTTCTTTACACTCAAAGCTTCAATTGTTTGTCTTTGTTATACATTTTATCAATCTCTTTCTGCATAAACAAGAACAGAGAAAATGGTTCTTAGGTTAAGATCATCCGATTCAGTAGACCCCTAAACATCATCAAGCCAAAGAGATAGTTTAAGGTTTTACAATGTGGTAACCTTGAATGTTTTCTAGTGTGAACATAAAGGGAAGAGACTTTTAATATACCTGATAGTACTTGAGAAGCTGAGGCCTTTTCTTCTTGTAAGAAGGTGTGATGAGATCTCTTTCCATGTCGAACGGTACCGTGTCCAAATGAACACCTTTGATCAGCTCAAATCCCTTCAGCTGTAAGACAAAACCCACAATTTTCACACTTAACAGAAGGTTGCAAATACAAAACAATAATTTATAAGTAGAAGAATCATGAACAAATCAAACCTTTTTGTCTTTGGCTACTCTGTTGAATTCTCCAAGGATAAACTCTTTAGTCTTTTGGTTTCGACAGATAGACTCAAAGTCTCCTGAAACACTGTGTTCTTTGGCCCAATGTTCAATCTGAATCTTGCTTGGACATACCACAGCCACTAAGTAAGACTCATAGCTGTTTCCATATACCCATAGCTGCAAAATGTTTTAACAGATAATTAGTTAAAAGTCTTATTTAATGGTTATTTAAAGTTATCTTATCAACTAATACCGATTCAATGGCGGCGACATGACTGTATATGTTCTCCAAGTTCTCAACCGCAACATATTCTCCTTGAGACAGTTTAAAGATGTTCTTCTTACGGTCGATGATCTTCATGGCTCCATCTGGTTGCCACTCACCAACATCACCAGTATGAAGCCAACCATCAATGAGGACTTCTTGAGTGAGATCTTCACGTTTGTAATATCCAGAGAACAAAGTCTTTCCTCTGATGCAAATCTCTCCACGTGGGTTGCTTGCAAGAGCGTCATAACCCATCTCTGGAACTGACTCGAGCCTTATGTCAACGTTTGGAACTGGTGGACCAACCGTTCCAAGCATTGAAAGCTCATTTGGGATGGACACAAAAGTGCCACCACAACTCTCTGTTAGACCGTATCCTTGCAAAACATGAGCACACGCGACAACTCGAAGGAAAGATTCGATGTGAGCTGCAAGAGGAGCTGCTCCTGAGAGGATCAGACGCACGTTTCCTCCCAACCCTTCTTTTACCTGAAACAGTTTTGTTAAACTCTTTCAAGATTTAGTTTTGTTCTAACAGTCACAAGGTTCAGGATCAAAAGAGTGAAGATTAAAAATTATTTCACCTTTTTAAATACAACTCTGTCAGCCATTGGAGATGCTTGTTCATGAGGCTGCCCTTTCGTCATGTTTTTATGTTTGCTGAAAAAATGTATCAAAAGGTTTCAGAAACAGAGAAATTTTTATAAAACTCTGGATTTTTTAATCTAAAGCGATACACTTACAAGTTGAATGCAAAGTTGAATAATTTCTTCTTTATGAAACCACCATCAGAAAGTTTCTGCTGAAGACCTGAAAATTGACATAAACAGATAACAACAGTTATGAAAAAATAACTTAAATGTTTTTCAAAATTTTTAACTAGTCTTGCAAAGTATTTACCTGTGTAAATTCTCTCTAGCACGCGAGGAACAGCGCAGAAAACAGTCGGTTTCAATGCAGAAATGTCTTCTATCAATATCTTAACATCCTGATAAAGAAACAGATTATGAATTATAAGTCTCTTATGAACATATTCTGTAGACAAAAGAAACAGATTATATAACTTAATTACCCCTCGCCAGAATCCGATAGAGGCTGCTTCAGATATACACAGCTCCTCAATCACGCGATCGAAGATATGAGCCAGAGGTAGATATGAGAGATAAACATCTTTACTGGTTAACTGTAACATTTTTCACAATGGAAACAAAGAAGAAGTTATTTATAATGATCAATTCTTGAAGTAGTGATCAATGATCATGATGTAAAAAAGAATAAGTTACCTCTTCATTGATAGATTTAAGCAATTTTTTAACACCTTCAAGTAGATGAATAATGCTCTCATTTGTAAGCAAGACTCCTTTAGGATCACCAGTTGTGCCACTTGTATACATTATGGTGCAAACATCGCTGCTTCTCTTCTCTGGTAATTCATAATGTTTACCCTCACCCTTCAAATTAAGTAACATATATTCAGGATTCTGATTGTTATGATGTTAACATAGAATACAAAAAGTTCAAATACGATTCTCTTACTAGCTTCAAGAATTGGTCCCACGAATATATTGTTAATCCATGCCTCTCAGCTTCTGCTCTTTGACCATTTGTAACCTCACCAAAGCTCACAATATCTATTCCAAAAAGGAAATAAAAAAATTGTTTCATTCACTGGACTTTTATCAAAGAATCAAAAACAAAAATAGCTTACTTACTCTTCAAATATCTAGTTGATTTTGGAGCTGTCAACAATAACTGAAACATAAAAAAAAAATCGCCTTGTTTTAGTGGTTAGAAATCCCAAATGTGAAATAGGAAGAAAAGTACTCTAACAAAAAAGAGGTGTGAGTCAATCCACTCATTATATTGTAAGTTAGTCTTGAATTGAACATAAATTTAGCTAATGATCAAGAGATTTGATATATTAACATAACCGATTTCTTTTCTCTTGTAAAAAACATTTGTCTGATAGGAAATTACCTCAGAGATTTTTTTCTCCTCAGAGAAAGCGAGTGAGACTTCTGCATGACAAATGATGAATTCTATTGCTCCAGCACCTAAACAAATGCATCATTCAAACTATTATACACACATAAATCTGAATGTAACCAAAAAAAACAATCAATAGAATAGACAAATGTATTTGTCCAAAAAAAAAAAAAAAAGAATTAATAGACAAATGTTACACACCTAGAGTGTCATATAAAGGTACACAGTAGAGTCCATGAGCATTGCAAGCCTGAAACATGAAAATTTTGATAAGTACTTAGTGAATGTGAAGAAAAATGGTAATATCATTCATCACCATATGTATAAAATTTAGCTAATCAATATGATGTCACTCTCATATTATTACCTCCATGCTTATAATCCATTCAGGACTATTGGCGCCATAAATACCGCATTTCTCTCCCTGGTCCACAAATTATTGTAATTAAGATGTTGTTTGAAATCTTAGATGCATCACTATAAACTATGGTTTGAATGTAGAAAAAAGCATTGTTTATTAGGACATTAATTACTTTTCCAACTCCAATAGTTCTGATAGAGTTTCCAAGCTTAATCACTACATCATATACTTCTTTGTAAGTTTGCCATACATATTTCCCAGCCTGTCGGAAGGAAAAAAAAAAAAATCATAATCACAGAAAAACACATAATTTATTAGTTAATTTCTGATTAAGTTGGTGATTGCTTACTTTTCCATCAACTATTTCTCTACGACCAAGCATAGGATTATCTGGAGATTTCTTCACAGATAATCTGTAATCAAAACAGAACATCCACAACAACAACAAAAAATCATATCAATGGTTTTGTTGGTTATTAACTTATCATCAGTCAATAGCGCCATGAACATTATATTTGACACAAAAGCAACATGCATGGTTTCATTGTCTGAGATTCTTAACTGAAATCATTTGAGGATAATTACATATACTTTTATTTATTTGTTTAATCTTCATGTGAAAGTCAAAGTCAAAGAGAGTAAAATTGACTAGAGACTTTTGCAATAACAACTTGACTTTTGTAAAGGAAAATCTAATGTTTGAAGTTTTACATTTTTGATTTGGAAGAAAACGTAAACCCCAACATTTTTTCTCTTCCATATATTTTGTCAGCAGTTTAACACAGCCTAGAAACCAAGGACCGAAAAAATAAACAATGTTCATGAAGTAATCCTCAAATCTAACAATAAAATTCAGAACAAATGTGATCGGAAAGGAGTAACGTAGGATTCAATAGTCTGATCAAGTTCTGACTTTGTATAAATAAATCTTTTATCTAATTAATAGAGATACACTAAACTTTAAATACGACTTTGATTTTCTGACACAATAATTCGACTCCCCATACTTTTTGTGATATGGAGTCCATATATTTTTTTCTCACCTGAAAACTTCAAATTTATTATAACACTCACATATAGATATAGCGTTTTGTAAATTCTACACCAACAATATCGCGATATGTAATAAACAAAATAGAAAATAAAAACTTGAACAAAAAGTTAGACAGACTTTGGTAGTTGTTCCTTTAAGAGAAGAGATGGTAATTAAAGAGATATTATCTAACCGGAAAATATCCCATGCACTGACGAGATCATCGGCCGGTTCGGGAAACCCGCCTTTAGCGTAGATACTCCGGTAAACCGGACCGACCGATGGACTTCCTCCATGGACGCCTTGCTTTCCCTTCTCAACCTCAAAGATGTATCGACTAGTCGCCATTTACTATATCTGCGTATCTGTGTTTCTTTCTATGTATATATCTGTTTTGTTCGTTGAAATGTAAAAGAAGCAATTAGAATGGTCGTTGAAATGTAAAAGAAGCAATTAGAATGGTGTGTGAATGTTTTAATGAGGAAAAAAAGATTTCAAGGACACGAGGGTAGCTGACCAATCCTCAATATTGGGTACTCCCTCCATTTCGTTTTAGTTGTCGTTTAAGGTTTTTTCACACAAACTAAGAAAAACATTTAATTTTTTTGTTTTACCCTTTACTAATATATTTTATAAAAAATTTCATTGGCCAAAACATTAAAACAGTAGGGATAAAACTGGAATTTTCACCAAACATTTGCATTGAAAACCTAAAACGACAACTATTATGAAACAAAATTTAAATCCTAAAAACGACAAGTAAACTGAAACGGAGAGAGTAGTATTTATAAGAAATCTCATTATTTATTGCTTTTACCCCTCTAAAGCTTATTAAATTTTGTCTAATTATGTATAATCAATTAACAAAACTGAAATAACTTGAGAAAAAATAGAAAATGAAGAAAAAACAAAGTTTTAAACCATTTTTTATTTTATTACCTTTTAATATTATATGAACAGAATAACTATTCTCCAGTACTAGTTAGTAGTTACAGTGAGATGATAAATTTTGACTATCCTCCACAATGTAAAATAATGTGAACATTATATATATATATATATATGTATATATTATCATATGTCTACTTCTATTAGGATATGTTAACAATTTGGGATCTAATTAATGGTGTACATGTTAGTCACATATATCTAATGACCCAGACCCCTATGTAATTAAGTACCATAAGAAAAAAAAATCAAATCGTTGTCCAAACAAAAAAAAAAAAAAAAAAAAAAAAAAAAAAAATCAAATTATTAAATTACCAGGTTCTTTTTTTGACAGCACGCAAGTGTAAGGCCGTTGCTTATAATATTGATATTTGACTTTCATGAACAGTAAGATTATATTGCTATTCGAATATCATAAAGGCCATATGACATTAAATAAGCACATACAAATAAGGGTTCTCTACAAATAAATACTTTAATAAAAATATACAAATAAATACCATACGTAGTGCTTAACCATAACCATCAAAACCTTTGTTGGCCATGTATTATTATTTTTTTACTTTTTGTGAGATTGATTGGAAAAAACTCTATTGAAGAGTGTCTGGGAATACATTTTCGTACAAGACCAAAGAAACCGAGAATGATGGCGGCAAGATAAAATGGAATGGTACTTTTGTTACATGATAACAAAACTTAACAACTGATTAAAATTAAAATTTTGATATATATTTTATTCTAACATAATTATTTTAAAAACTAATTAAGATATATAGCTTCCCTGTTCTAAAAATCCCCGCCTAGCCCCGATTACTCCCCGCTTAATCGCTAGGCCCACCCTATCCGCCTCGATTAATGACTAATCCCCTAAAAAATCAGTAACCCGATTATTCTCCGCCTAATCCGATTACTTCCCGCCTAATCCGATTATTTTCCACCTTATCTTATATACCCCGATTATTTTTTAGATTGCAAGTATAAAAAAACCTTTTATTTTTGTTATTCAATCATTTGAATGGGGAGTTTGTGATGTTTTACAATAACTTGTGTTCAAATTTTAATAAAAATCATAAATTTGTAATAAAAATCATAAATTTTTACAATATTGGATTAATATATTTTAAAAATATTAAAATAACCCTAAAACTAATCCCCGATTAATCCCCGATTTTAATCCGATTTTCCGATTAATCGCTAGGCCCATGCCGAGCGCCCGACTAACGCCTAGCGATTTTTCAAACAAGGTATAGCTTTATGAAGTAAGTAGATCCAGTATCATGATCATCTGATTAGAGATCAATATTTCTTTGCGCACCGCCATTATGTACATTAGTTGTTAGTTGAACTAAAAAAAATTACGAACTTATTTCTAATCTTGGCATTTTTTGTGGACAACATTATAGGATATAAAGTTAGAAACGAAATTTATAGATAAGGGCCACTATCATTATTTCCATCACGTCGCGTTTGTATTATTAATTAGTTCGTACCTAACTAGGCAATTGAGGTTTGATCAATATATAACGGACCACTCTTATTGATTACTGTAGTTAGTATTACATATCATTTGATCCATATTTATGAAACTAATCACCCTCTAATTTATATATTTTATGTATATATGCGATTCTATTTCCAAATTTATATATGTACAATAGAAAGTTCATCAATTTTATTGATACCTACATTGTCACCGTCACTATATATGTTAGTACTTTTTTAAAAATAAGTCTACTGACTAATCAAGAACCCAACTAATAATCCATAGATTTCGTCGATCTTTATGTTTTAGACTTCTGGATTTTCTGACATACGTTTTTTTTTTTTAAAGGGGTTATCTTCATTAAGTTTTACCAACAAATCAAAAGTTGTTTGTTCTAAGGCAAATGGAATTTGAACTAAATTATTTGTTACGTAATTTAGTTTTGAGGAAACATGAAAAATAAAGGTGGGATCATATTAATAGTCAAGAACGAAAATCCGTACGAAAAGGAAGCTTACAGAGTTGATTTCGTCACTATTTCGTGCAATTAAAAGTGGTACGACAGCTTTATTTGTCGTTTTTGCCTGTTTCATACCGTTGACTTTGAATTCTTCTGAATGAAGACTTGTGAGCCTTTGTTTTTACAAAGAAGAAGTCGTATTCTTTTGAATTTGTCAAACCACATCCTTAAGTTTCTTGCTACATTTATGAAATATAGATTTGACTTGGATTACGAAATTATATAGGTTCAACCACAAGAAGTCGTTATAGATAATTGAACAATTCTACATTCATAAGCTAACGGTTTTGAAAATTTGGAAGCTTTATAAGAACAAATAATAAAGCCACCAATTCTTGTATTACGAAATCGTGTCGTGCGCTACTAATTAATTCGTGTATTATGGTGTTCATGTGTTATACGTTCATTATAATATAAATATTTTCAACAACTTTAATTTTAAAGGTTAGTTTTTAATTATAATCATATTAGTGATTTAGTACAATGATCTTGAAGACTAAAAAATAGTTAACATATGTAGTATTCTTAAGTAAAGAAATGTAACTGTAAACCTCAAAATAACTTCTTTTGTTGGTATGTTAGTATTGCAGATTTACTGAAAAAGTAATTTAACATTACTCCTGATTCTATATAACTGAAAAAAAGAAAAAAGAACAATATGAATCATAAAACGTTTCCACCATTTTACAAATTATCAAGTATGACATCAATGTCACAATGTTGTGGAAGTTTATATATCATTGTATCATGTACAATATGTATGGGTCAGTTAGTGTGGTGATGATAGATATTGTATGGGTCAAAATCATTTCCCAATATAGGCTTTAGTTTAGGCCCATAAGTTCCATTGTAGCCCATTAGATTCACTTATTGGTCAGAGGGGGTAAATTACACTTGTATCTCGAGGCCGGCCTTTGATAGTTGATATGTTACGTATACGTACGTATGTATGTCGTCGGTATGTGCTGTGTCCAGCTTCAAATGCCACTACGTTTTCTGTCCAACCGTACCCAAAAATGAGATTGAGTTAGAAGTATATTTTTTTCTAATTTTTTTTTTTTAATGTTCTGATTGAAATGTATATAACTCAAACCGATTTTGTATACTTAGATCCGTCTTTTAATCAGAACATCATTTTAATCAAACAAAATCGGAGATGAATTAAAACCTCAGCTGAAACAGAAATGCAGCGTATGTTATGTTTAATAACCAAATCTAAAATAATTATTATTTATTTCTAAGTACTATAGATTAACAAAAAAGATAGTACTAGTATTATTTTCTATTTTCTATTACACGTAATATGACATCAGGTTACTTTTTTTTTTTTTTTTCGTCCATGACATCAGGTTACTTAATTAATTACTCAATAATGTCCTGAAAGTCATACCTAAAATCTGGCACTTGTCTCCCGACATTTCATTAATTCCCGGTGACATATGAGAACGATATACAGTATACAGTATTTTCTCCGTATCATAAAGAATAATTTTTTGAGGTTTTATTTTTGTATCAAAAAGATTGATTTTCTGTAAATTTTTATCAATTAATGTTAATAAATTATGAATTTCAAGAATCATTAATTGAGAATTTCAAAATTTGATGAATTACTATTGGTTAATAGCTATGAGAAATAGTTTGGTATGAATAAATAGTGCATTTATAACTAATTATTAAATGTTTTTCTTAATTGGTGTGAAAACTCTACAAAACCAATCTTTTTGATACTGAAGAAGTATTTGTTTGAGCGAAAAAAGAAGAAGTTTACTTTGTCATCTAGTAGAAATTTCGTAAGAAGTAAGAACCGAGCATTTGAATTTATAAGATACACATAATTAATTTATTTAATAACCATCTTTCTGATATGGGGTTTGAGTTTCTGGAGATGCGCATCGGTGGGATACATGTTTTGGATTGGAATGTGTTGTTGTCGGAGTTTGAAATTGTTTCAGTTGCAGTCTGGTTTTGGGCTGCGGATCAGAGATACTTTCGGTTAACAACGATTGAGGAGAGACGGTTGTTGGTGTCGGATCCCGCACCAGAAGTCCGAGACCAACCAAAGATTGCCACGTAGTCAAGATAATGGCCCATAAAGGATAAAGCCCATTGGACCCGTGAGCCGAAGGAACGGTCGAAGTGGCTATCACCACTTCGAGAATCCGAAGTGACTGCGCTTCGACATGAGTTCGGTGTAGAAGACACGGGTAAGTCGGTTCAAGAACACTTGGGGCAAAAGGCGAGGCCCATGAAGATCAGAGTCAACTCAAATTCAAACGTTAAGCATTAAAGTCAAAGATCAAAACGGACGTATTTAAGAGAGAATAATTGTATTTAATTAGCCATTTCAATGTCGTTTTTCTATGTATAAATATAGAGGCCAATGGCCATGTAAAGGGGACATTTTCTTCGAAGCAAGAAATACTATAGCAATTTTTGTAGCAATTCATAAGCTTTTTACATTCTTATTTTTTGTCCCTCAAGAATA